GTGTTTCACGCAATAAGTACTGAACCGATTTTAACTAAATTTTGTATAGTGATAACTTAGTACTCGGGTCAACATTTAGGATACCTTTTACGACAGGCAAATTATTCATCGATCGAATCGTCCTTAAAAATATGCCTAACGTTGGCTCAACCTTAAGAGATAGATCGAAACATTGTGCAAGAAAATTGTAAGTCTAAAAAGGTCTATAGAAAAGTTCTACATAGTATATGTCTATCTCCTAAGTTACACTCGCTATAACTATTTTCTTTATTATATATTACTGTTTTACTATACGTTATTTATTCTATCTATACATATAATAAAACTGTAGAGGTTAGAAAAAAAAATGCTAAAAACCCAGTCAGTTCTCTTCTTACATCCCGAAAGAAGAGAAGTAGAACAAATCCAGCTTTTTTTTCAATTTTTTTGTTTCTCTGTCTGTTTGTCTGTTTGTACGGGCTAATCTCCGAAACTATTGACCAATTTAAATTAAATTTTTCATGGTAGTACCTCATATTCAACATTTAAGATACTTTTCATTCCAGAAAATTAAAGAGTTACCGTGGGATAGTTAAAAAACTATAGTAACTTATACAGCTTAGTACACAACACCTTATATTGCCGGTCAAACAACAGGGTACTTTTCATCCCGAAAAAATGGACGGTTCCCGTGGGATAGATCTGTTTGTGCGTTTCTAGAGGCGAACCCGAGCGAAGCGAGGATGAGCCGCTAGTTATTAATAAAATAAGATTTATAAAGTTCTTACATTTTTATTTCTTATTAACTTAATTATCCCAGATCATTAAGTGTTTAATTTATCATTATTTATTTTATACATTTAAAGAAATAAATATGTTGGGACATTAACACACAGCACCATATAGTTCCCCGGTAAGCTACTAGGCTTGTGTTATGAATATCAAATAGTTGATACACTACACATATATAACTTTAAATACAAACATATTATAAATATAAACACCCATGTCTGGAATACAAACATTCGTGCTCATCAAGCAAATGAATGCCCCCAGCGGGACTCGAACCCGCGACACCTGGCACAGCAAGTAGGGTCACTACAAACTGAGCCAAACGTGTCGTCATCAAATAAATATCTTTTATCGTATTTTTTTAAAATTGAACTCTATTAACTTGAGATACTTTATATGTAATATTCTTAAATTATGACTGTATAGCAAATGTCTACTAAAAAGCGAAAGGAACTTCGATCCGACCGGGGGTCCATAGAGCCCTCATATATAATGTTATTTGAAAGGTAGTTTTTTGGTTGTTGTAATTTCATTAGTTGGTCTCATAAAAAATTGGTGAAGGTCTTCAGCGTGATGAGCAGAATAGCTCCTCAAAATTCAGCTTGTGCTCGCGAGGTTTACCGTTCGCAGAACTTACATATATATTTTTTCTAATGACTTAAAAATCAAACTTATTTCACACGGACAAAGCCTCAGGGAGAAATTAATAATTTATAATAACAAGATCTTTTATTATTCTACGAGCTAACTTGATAAGTACTTAATGAAAAAGGTGTTACAAGAAGCGCTATTGTCTCGCCTACGCTTAATATTGTATTTACCTCAAATTTCTTATAATATACTGGTCCTTAGAAATAGGTCAATGTCAAAATTTGGTTGTGAAGCAGAATATGTATCAAAATATCTCATATATGGAATTTGTGGTAATTATATGCGTAGACAGGCTTTGCTTGATATGTTTAGTAAAGGTAAATATTAGTTAAATAGGCTACGTAAAATTTTACATTTTGTCCCCTACCACTTTGTTTACTGTAGGTACCTACTGCGTCATATTTTCTGGGCCAACTTGCTAATATAACGTGATAAAAGCTAAAAGAGCTAATAAAAATCATACAAGTGCAACTCTGACTCGCACACCGAGTGACCGAGGGTTCCGAAACAATAAAATAAGTTTACAATCGTAAAAAAATATTTTTATGCGAACAAAAATACAGGTTTCGGATTTTTCCCTTACCTTGCCAAATTTCATTGTTCTACAATCTAGTCAACGAAAAGTACCTTATAGGTTTTGATACCTTTAGTTCCCTAGCGAGTAGCGAGCGTCAACATAAACGGCCGTATCTTTTGATTGCATTGTCTTAGAAGTTTGATTTTTTCCACAGCTCCAAGGGATTGCACTTTGCAGCCTAAATATTTCATATTAATTTCAACTTTGTACCTTATTAGGACTTTTTGGAATAATAATGCAGATTTTACACAATGTATTTTTATTTAAATGAAGCTCGTCATTGCCAAAGTACAAACACACGGCGTCCACCATTACAGATTGTTTTTTTTTACTTGAGTTGCCAGTGTTACAAATCAAAATAAGTGTTGCCTTACATAATAGGTACCTACAGCATATTTAACATACCTCCACCGTTCCTGAGAAAAAGGCTTTGACAGACAGACGGACAACGAAGTGATCCCTTTTCTCCTTTTCATATACGGAACAAAAATAATTTCAAAAGGACTCAGCCAAACATTAATTTGTAATTATTTATACGCACTTTCTCTTGCAAGTAGACATAGTGACTGACGATTTTGGGGCAATGTTATTGTAGTGTTGTGACACAGTGCAGCGTCTTGTATGACGACCCACGTTTTTAACAGCCGTCTAGGATAAATTTTTATATAATACTAGCGACTCACCCTCACTTCGCTCGGGTTCGTCCCTAGCTTGATTCCGCATAAAAATTTTCATCCCCATTTTCACCCCCCTTAAGGGATGATTTCTGGGATAAAAAGTATCCTACGTCCTTCCCAGGGTCTCAAACTAATAAACAAAAAAATATTCAAGCTCTATGAGAAAAACTATAAAAAAATAAACAATCTGACAAATACATTCTTTAATGCAGATTTCATGTAATTTGGATTTTAGTTTTATTCCCTAAATGTAACGAAGAGTGTGTGAAATAAAAGTATTTAATATGAAATAAAACCATTTATTTACGTTTACAATATACATAAAGACACATGATCTACAGTCTACAGTCCACACCATGGCACGGGCACTCACTCCATACAAACTTAATACTGGATGAATCTGCCCATTATACAAAATCTAATAAGTCAGTAAAAGGCCCAAGTGAGTTTTTGCGTAGTGCGTTTGTGTATTTGGCATATCTAATATTTGGGAAATTTCGCCCAGGGCGCCGCCTAGATGGTTAAAGCCGGTCCTGTGTATATACAATATATATAATACAATACTATTAAATGTTATCTACATTAATATCTGTTTAAGATATCTTAAACAATTATTAATGTAGGTAAAACGTTTCATTTAAATCAATTAAATAAAAACCGGTAGAATTCAGTACACTAGGTCTCATACAAAACACTAACCTAACTTAGTTCATGTTATAACTTCTCGTCACAAATAATTAAAATAACTCTTTTCAAAATAACTTTGTTAATAACACATAGTTATAAAAAATATTAAGATATTAATAACAGTTTAAATTTAAAATTATTGTAAAACTATTTGTCTGAAATTAAAAATAAAATTACAATGAATACATTTTAATTTAAAGCACAAAAGTTTTCAGTTTGCTTATGAAAAATATATTCTAAAAATAATTATTAAGTTTATTGTATATTAATAAAAGGTTATTAAAAAAATATGAACTTTTTAACAAGTAAATCTCATTTTATGGCAAAAGTGAAAAGGGAAGAGTATCTATGAATATAATGAAATAAATATTAATAAGAGAGATGTTTTTTTAAATTTACATTTATTCAAAGTTTTTTTAATTTTACCGTCTATTTGTATGTCAAATCGTGCATTTATTGATCTAAAGTCAAAACACAAATTGGCTAAGCCCTATTAAGTCCGGCAGATATAGATTGAGGTCCTATGCAATACTGGAGTCCAATTTAATGTTGTCAGAGTAGAATATAGTAAGTAAGAAGTATGAAGATATGAAGAAGAAATAGATATTAAAAACATGGAGAAGAAATTTCGGGATTTTTATGAACATTACGGTAAGAAGTAGCCTCTAAGTCAGCGGTTCCTAAATTTTTTGGCCAGAGCCAGAGCCCTAAATAATCATATTTTTTAACGGATCTCCTTTTTGATAATAACTAAAGTGATTGTGTTGTAATTAGAATACTTTCTTGTTTGACTTGAAAGAACAAATCATAAATGAAAAATATTAATACTTATAATAATACCTATTGTACCAAATACTAAACTCTCAGAACTTCTGTGAGTTGTGACCGTTCCACGAAACCTGTGGGGTTCCGCGGACTACCATTTGGGAAGCGCTGTTCTAAGTAATATATCTAGATACAGCGAAAATTATTGGTAACAATAACAGACTATATAGTAAAAAAAATATTTTAGAAGAGAGTCAGAATGGAAGTTCAGTCGTCATAAGTCAAGAAATCATCTATTCTAAACTATGAAATTATTGCAGTCCAAGTCTTCATATAAAATATTAAGTAATTTCGTAATAATATATCAAAAGTGTAAAATCAGAAGAGTAAGTCGATATTTTGAACCTATTTGTCTCTGTCTTTAGTCTTTTTATTTAAGTATAGTGATGTGAAATAAGTGATCTATCTATAAGTATATAAATAAAACAAAGTCGGGTTTGTTACAACACTTATAACTCGAGAACGGCTGGACCGATTTTTATGATCTTTGTTTTGTTGGATTTGTCTTCACCCCGAATAGCAGAATAAGTATTAAAACATCGGAAAAACTGAGAATTTTTTTTTCGTCAATACGTACCTAGGGACGAACCTGAACGAAGTGAGACACATCCCTAGAAGTCGATTATTTGATTTTTCAAAAAAATACTGTCTCGGAGAAAATTTGAAACAGCCTTATATAATTACTACAAACATAATTAATATTTTTTCATAATAATTAAATTAACAAAAATAAAAACGACTTTGAGTAGACCAAGAAAAAAAACCACAAACGGGACTTATGCAATTACCAAATTATGTATACCTATAGATTATTTTTCATTAATATTCCTCATTTTCATTTGCAATTCGAACCGTCTGTTCGTCCGTACGCCTTTTATCACCGTTCTGTTTTCTTTTCTGTCGACATTTCGTTTATCTGTGAAGGACTTTTCCCGCATAATAGTTTGTTTTGCGATGTTCTTTCGCAAATTTGTTGCTCCGGTTAATGAAGGCAATGTTGCTTGTCGCTTTAAGTTAAGTACTTTAGGTTTGTTCCGAAGCTTGATTTCTGTGTTTTTGGGAAAACTGAAGGGGTTCACATCTAAGTTGAGTTTGAAGCCAAATCTGGAATAGCCTGGATTAAATTCATGTTTTTTAGGAGTCTCCGGTTTTTTGGAGACTTCCACTTGTTGCGAATGTTGTTCTGAAAAAAAAAATTCTATCAACATCTAAAACGTATAAAAGTAGACCTAAACAACTTCAAAAACTATTATCTTAGAAATATTCATAATATTTGAATCATCATTATTCATTACTACATGAATTCTTTTCAGATTTTTTGGTATTTTATTTATTACCAAAAGAATGAGTCTTTAGCTATTTAGTACAAATATTCTGAGATCGACAGCCTTCAAAAACAAATAGGAATTTATTTAGGCTAGTAAATAGTTACCACGTAAGCTAAATATAAAAGATTTTTAACATAATTTTTAATCATATGGGGAAATTTAAAGTTATTTTTAAGACTTAAAAGCAAAATTTACAGTATAGATCAATAAAATATAAAATATGGACTGATAAATAATTATTACAGGTATTTTAATTAAAAGACAAACATATTTTTATTGCGAAAACGTAAATTTTCAGAAACAGCGAGTCATTAGTCAGTGTTATCAGTAACTGAATTACCTATATTGATAATGGCGTAACAACCTGCCAACAAAGTGCACAGACACTTGTGCAAATATCTAATCAGATCAGTCGCGATATTGTGTTAATAAACTTGACGACAGGTTTGGCTCAGTTTGTAGTGACCCTACTTATTGTACCAGCAGTCGCGGGTTCGAGTCCCGCTGGGAGCATTCATTTGTGTGATGAGCATGAATGTTTGTACTCCAGTCATGGGTGTTTATATTTATAATATGTATGTATTTAAAGTTATATATGTGTAGTGTATTAACTATCTGGTATCCGTAACACAAGCCTCGTAGCTTACCATGGAACTAGATGGTGCTGTGTATGAATGTCCCAACATTTATTTATTTATTTATTATTTATATTTAAACTTGCATATTATGAACAATAAATATGTAATGCATTAGAAAGTACTTTGTGCGTAATGGCAGAATATTCATATCCCTTCTGTCACAAATCCCGTGGGAATTCCATCTTTACAAGTGATTCCCGGAAACTTAACAATGTCCAGTATAATTCGGCATCTTTTAATGTTTTGAAACTAAGCGTGAAAGTATTTAATTATTGGTGTAGCCTTATACGATAGTTCAAACATTTTACTAGCACTTCTTGCGGAAACAAAAATAAACCAAATTCAACAATATAAAGAAATATTGAAGAATCTTTTTTGTTCAATAATTTTTGGCAATCGGCCAAAAAATCTGTATAACAAGGCCTATGAACCTAATTTAGAGCAATTAATACTTTCTTAGATTTACGCGAATATTTGACATTTTACATAAAACTAGGTATCTTTTCAGATATTTTCTAGGATTTTTTTTGATTTTTAGTTTCCGACGCGACGTTGTGAATGCAAGCAAATTTCTAAACTTTGAAAACGTCGGGAACCAAAAATCAAAATAAATCCGCGAAAAAATAGATAAAATCACAGACAGCTGATTCTTCAATTTTATTTATACCTGAATTTAAAAACTTAAAAGATAGCCAGAAGACTATGAGGTAGAGTTAGAGGTAGAAATAGGAGGTATTGCTGGTAGTATACAATCCTATGATAAGGTTTTACTTTGGTATAAGGAACATTTTGTGGTTGATTGTTGAAATACATTAATATTACAAAACATTTTCATGTTAAAAATAAAAATATCTGTGGCCTCTGTACGCAACGTGATGTTATTATTTACAACGCACAATATAATGGAGGTTTCAACTGATAAGATTAAGTAATATCTTTATAATATATGTTTAATATTTTTATTGCTAAATATTTATTTTATGGTGCCGTTTGTACCTACAATTGTGAAATGTTGTAATTGCGTTCTTTTTTATCCCACTTTAAAAAAGAACCATATAAATGGTTTTTATTATGTGACATCTTAACCAATTGTTGATATATAATCGTTAAACAATACTAAAACTGTAATGAAACGATCATATATCGTTATATCAGAGAATCATGTCATTGCCGTATATTTTTTTCGGTTTCTATCCTACAAAAACTGCAAAAAGATATCTCGTCGATAAGCCCCCCGAGCCCCCTCTTATATGGTATACCTCTTAAATGGTACACTCCTAAATCCAGTCCGAAGAAAAAAGTTCTGTAACATTTCCTCAAGTACCTTTTTTTTAACGTTGAAAAATGCATTTACGCACGAGGTGTGGGACTCACCGGCAAAGCCAGTACTACCCACTAAAACCCAACAAAACCTTCCCCCGTCTTAATGGGGCGTCGCAGGATCGCTTACGCATTCAACTACGACGCCCCGACGCGACGGCAGGTCTGCCGAAGAAGACCACAACAACCATGGGGTTGCTCCAAGGTCCACTCTGCTATCAGAGAAGTACCAGGAGCAACCCGGATAGTACACCGCCCTCCGAAGAGGGCCACCTCCCTGTGCGTTTCTTGGGTTCGCGTCCGGCAGTATTGCCGGGCACTATTGAGCCCCCCCACCACGACAAAGTGAACGCACGTAGGGGGGGATTTCCTCAAGTACCTACTACTTGTATAGAAAGTAACCAAAGCCATTCTACAGTCCATAAACTAATTCTTTGTAATAACTTTGCAGATCCTGCGAAACAAAATGCGAAAATTCCTGAAAAATCCTGCGAAATGAGAGCAAACAAACGAACACCTTCATTCACAATAATGACGACACGTTTGTCTCAGTTTGTAGTGATTCTACCTGCTGTGCCAGCGGTCGCGGTTCGAATCCCGCTGGGGGCATTCATTTGTGTGATGAGCACGAATGTTTGTACTCCAGTCATGGGTGTTTATATTTATAATATGTATTTAAAGTTATATATGTGTAGTTTATCAACTATCTAGTATCCATAACACAAGCCTCGTAGCTTACCATGGAACTAGATAGTGCTGTGTGTTAATGTCCCAACATATAAAAAAATAATAATAATAATGATAAACATTAACGATTATAATGATAATGATAAAATAAACCAGATATCTACTAAAACGCACATAATACATATATCTAGTTTTATTAATATGACAGGAAGCCTGTGGTGATTCGAATGACTTGATGAAGTAAAAAACACTTTGATAAGGCTTTATGAGTGATGACGTAAGATTGCTATCCAATATAATTGCTTTAAAAACGCGCTAGCTACTGTTGATGAGGAAATTATATTTAGAAATTATTATAAAAAGATATAAATAACTTTTGTCGTTGTACCCCTTGCAGTAGAAACCCTTTTTTGTTTACGCTGGGGAAACCCATCATGGGGACCCTACCGGCCGTCAATGGGTAGGGTACTGTGAGACTCCTACTCACTAAAACCCACAGCGAAACCCGGCTTGCGCATTCACTACAACACCCCTGTGCAGTAGAAACCCTTTTTTTTTAACGTTGGGAAATGCATTTACGCACGAGGTGTGGGACTCACCGGCGAAGCCAGTACTACCCACTAAAACCCAACAAAACCTTCCCCCGTCTTAATGGGGCGTCGCAGGATCGCTTACGCATTCAACTACGACGCCCCGACGGCAGGTCTGCCGAAGCAGACCACCACAACCATGGGGTTGTTCCAAGGTCCACTCTGCTATCAGAGAAGTACCAGGAGCAACCCGCATGGTACACCGCCCTCCGAAGAGGGCCACCTCCTACCGCCCACCGAAGTGGGCTACCTCCCTGTGCGTTTCTTGGCTTCGCGCCGGGCACTACTGAGCCCCCCCACCACGACAAGGTGAACGCACTTTGGGGGGGCAGTAGAAACCCTTGACCCATGGTGTGCAAGTGCTATAAACTTCTTAAAAGACATAGTATATCGTCCTAACACCTTTACTGGTGATTAGAAAGCTGGTTCATTTTTCGCCAAAACTATTATTCCCATTCAGAGGGGTGGCCAGAATTTATGTCATAATACCACGCGAGCATGACGTGTAATAGTAAATGTACATTTGCTTTATATATATAATTATAATTAATGTATACCATATTTCTAGTTTTACTGTTATTGTTTTGTAAATAAATCTGTATATTATAAATGTGAAAGTTTGTGGTATGGATGTTTGTAACTCTTTCACGCCATATCGGCTGAATGGATCTGGATGAAATTTAACACAGAGATAGATTATAGTCTGGAATAACACATAGGCTACTGTTTATCCCGGAAAACTGTACAGTTCCCGTGGGATAGATTCGTCTTTGTTTTTCTAGATGCGAACCCGAGCAAAGCGAGTTGAGCCGCTAGTAAAATAATAGATATTGTATGAAGTATTTTCATATTTACTGAAGTCTAGCAATACGCGTTACTTCGACCGCATTTAGTTTAAAAAAGAAATAAGGAAATCATGATGGTCATGTCATATAAAGATATTTAAACAGCGCACGTGTGTTTGCGCACATACATACCTCCTACGTGGTCTTAATGAGACAATCGGTTAGGAAAATATAAGTATACTAGCATTGCCCGCGGCTCCGCCCGCGTTCAGATGACCAAAAACCAAATTCTTAGATTTTACATATTAGTATACTCTTACATTGCAGTTTTTGTATTTTTTCTCAAAAATGATATATTTTCCCGCGGTAAAAAGTATCTTATATGTTGACCCGGATAACTCGCTATCACCATACCAAATTTCATCAAAATCTCTACAGTGGTTTTTCTGTGATGCGGTAACAGACAGACAGACAGACAGACAGACGGACGGACGGACGGACGGACGGACGGACGGAGAGACAGACAGAAAGACAAAAATTCTTAAAAACTATAGATTTGGCCTCTGTATCGATAATAATGTTTATTTCAATAACATTTTCCAAAAAATATCTAAGTACAGATTCGGCTTAGTTACAATTTTATTATATGTATAGATTAAGTTCTTAATATATATTTTTTGGTAAAAATACCATTGATATATAAAAACTCAATATACACAATTAGCGTCTCACAAGTGTCCTCAAAAAGAAGCCCAAAATTCGAAATATATTTTTACTTTTGTTCTATTGTTTTGTTTAAAAAAGCACTTTATGTACGCACCCGTAAGTTCGAATTTGTGTTGAGACAGTTATTCTTTGGTTTAACACAACGTTACATGTCGACGGCACTTTTTAAAGAGATATTTGCCGGGAAATGCGTACGTTTTAATTATATTAATGGCCACTGGATGAACCAGGCCTTTTTTCAATCTAAAATGGTCGGCGTTTTATAGAGGAATAAATATAAATATATTGGGACATTAACACACATCACCATCTAGTTCCATGGTAAGCTACGAGACCTGTGTTATGGAAACCAGATAGTTGACACACTACACATATATAACTTTAAATACATACATATTATAAATATAAACACCCATGACTGGAGTACAAGCATTCGTGCTCATCACACAAATGAATGCCCCCAGCGGGACTCGAACCCGCGACCGCTGGCACAGCAAGTAGGGTAGGCAATCATTACAAACCGTCGTCACGCGAGCCACACGTTTCAAGTAATAATGTATAGAGAAAATGGCTATCTGTCTTACCTTACTAGAGATAAGAAATTTGACATAACTTGTATGGAGCTTATGTTATATTTAAAAATCTCTAGTAAGGAATATTTTAGTTAAATAGGTTAAGGTGAATCCCATAATGCTCAGACTCTTATCTTTTACTCGTTTTTACCGTCTACAGGACGCGTCATGCGCTTTTGCGATGTCGATGGCCTCTACTTTTGGCGTCAATATAGAGACACCACTTGATGCTTGCTGTCTAACTAGCCGATTTTATGTTTCTTAAAATAAATAAAATAAGAATAGCTTTATTTCCTCTGACCTTTCTATATACAAATGTAAAGATGAATTAAACTATATTTTTAACTACATTATAATCATAATTATAATCTATACATATAATAAAATGTTGAGTCGAATCAATACATTACATATTTTTTCGAAAATCTTATTGAAATAGTCATTATTATCGATACAGAGGCCTAATCTATAGTTTTGGGAATTTTTGTCTGTCTGTTTGGGAATGCATCACGAGAAAACCACTGGGCGGATCTCTGAGAAATCTATACTAAACGTTAAAACATAACTAGGGAAGAACCCAAGCGGAGCGAGAGCGAGTCGCTATTAGTAATTAAAATATCTCATCTCTGGATCAGATATTTTACCAAATTTCATCAAAATCCCTCCAGTGGTTTTTCCGTGAAGCGGTCACAGAGAGACAGATAGACAAAAATTCTAAAAACTATAGATTTGGCCTCTGTATCGATATTCGATAATAATGTCTATTACAATAAGATTTTCCAAAAAATATTTAATGTACAGATTCTACTCAGATAAATCAGCGCCTACCAACATTTTACTGCAATTAGTCTAATTTATTACATGTAACACAGATGTTTATCAATGAATATGATATAGGTACATACATATATTTAACTAGGTTACCCTTGCTTCCCTAAGTATGCTTTATATAGATAAAAATAGTTATCTTTAGGCCTTTTCAAGACATTTCTAGATTTTTGTTTTAATATACCTCTGAAGGTTTAGTCAGCATTTGCAATGTACTTGCACAAAAACAGTTTTTGTGATAAAACACCGTGTGTATTCATTTTGTACAAAATATTTACAATTTATATACACAAACCTTCCTTGTTTATCACTCTTGCTGTTAGTGAAAACCGTATCAAAATCTGTTGCGTGGTTTAGAAGACGTCAGCGGAGAAACAGACAGATGCTGACAGCAACTTTTTTTTACACCATATATAGATAATATAAGCGTACATTCTTTTATTTCAAAATTGTTTTTGATTAAAGGAAAAGGGTAAATAGTATGAAATTTTAAATTTCAAATACTGTTATTAGAATTTTTCTACCGACTTCTTCAAAAAGGAGGAGGTTGTCAATTCCGCTGTTTTTTTTTGCAGTACAAAGTGTGCGTATTGTTCATTAGTAGTAGTGGACTAAGATAGTAATATAATAATATTGTACCTTTAGGACTAATTCTTTCTAGAACATTGATGGGTGCGGTGGGAGTGAGCAGCTGCCGAGCTCTCTTGGCCTTTCTCTCTTGACACTCATCCAGAGACTCCATCTTCTCAAACTGTTTTTGATGCAGAGCAGCAAAGTTAGGCAGCTTGGTGCGGGATACTTTCTCCGGCTTGGCTTTGGATGGCGTTGTGACCTTCTTGGATGGCGTGCCCGGGTCTTGGAGGCGAGCTGGAAATAATATTTACATTATAGATGATTTTTGTTTTATTTTAGACAGTTTTAAGAAGACAAAAGATATCTTTGAGATATTTTCTGTGCAATAAGTATTACTATGCTATAAAATATGAATATATAATCTATGCAAATAAATAAAATTAAGGTGTGTTTGTAATGTCAAAATAGTAGATTTTTATTAAATGCATATGAAATTATATACAGTACTTATAAGAAACACACAATTTTAATTTTTTTTCCTCCTGCTTTCAATTTTGCTAATCTCCGAAACGCTGAACGGATTTTGACGGGACTTTCACTGGCATTATACCTGATGTTATAACATATAAGGATTAACTTAAGAGTTAAAATAATATTAAAACATACCAAGGAACGCACTCGTTCGAAGCGAGGGTAAGTCGCCAGTCTTTAAGGTTTTTAGGTTTTCAACATGTTTACCACTTGTCTTGAAAACAAAGAAAAAGACATGTGAAGTCCGCCAATCTGCCCTAGGCCAGCGTGATGGACTATGGCCTGACCCCCTCTCATTGAAGGAAGACCTGTGCCCAGCAGTGGGACGTTAAAAAGGGCTGAATACAAGTACATTCTCTGACATGTGTATTACCTGATGCACTGGCAGTGCGAGGTCTAGACAGGCGCTCCACGGAGTGCTGCTGGTCCTCCGTGAGACGCTTGCGCTTGCTGCGCACCTCGTCCGCCTCGCTCTGTGTGTAAGAACGCTTGCGAGCTGGACGAGTTATCTCTGACACTGAAAATGAGAAATGTATTGATGAAATATTGTATATTTTTGAAGACTGTCGTAAAACTACTAATTGTAATACAAAAATGTAGCTGTCTTATATTATCTGCCAAACGTCTTCTAAACAAGGAAAATCTATTCCTATCATTAACTACGTAAACATGACCCAAAATCCAAACAATCATTAAAAATTGACGACTCGTTTGGCTCAGTTTGTAGTGATTCTACTTGCTGTGCCAATAGTCGCGGGTCTGAATCCTACTGGGGACATTCATTGATGTGATGAGCACGAATGTTTGTACTCCAGCCATGGGTGATTATTTATAATATGTAGGTATGTATATAAATTTATATATGATTATTGTGTAGTGTATCAACTACCTGGTATCCATAACACACACCTCGTAGCTTACAATGGAACTAAATGGTGCTGTGTGTTAAAGTCCCAACATATTTATTTATTTATTTAATGTTTATGTGTCTATACTCACTGATCTCCTAAACTACTAAAACGATTGACATAACTATCACTAGATAGAGAGCGCGACTAGAACTAATGACTAGAATAACATAGGCTTTTTTCACCCCAGGGAACAAAATGGGTTCCCATGAATAGAGACATCGAAGAACAGCTTTGGAGATTTAAATGGAACCTGCATTGGCAACATCGTAACATGCAAATAAAGTAATATTATTATTACATTAGAATAAAAATATACTATATATTGAAACTTACCACTTTCATCAAAAACGAAGCTTTTATTGGAACCCTTCAAATTAGACTTAATAACCTTCCCCTTCATCTGTGTCACTATAGCGGGATTATTGACCGGACTGCAAAACATTACTTTAGTTGTTCTAGGCGCTACATCCCTTAACGATGACCTTCTCTTTTCTATTGATCTTGTTATATTCAACATGTTTTTATCCTTTGATGTACTTCTAGACAGCGGGAATGGTGTATGGCCTGGGGATGGTAATGACTTACGTCTAACTTTATCATTCTGTTCTGGTGATGAATATGAATCGGAATCTTTGGTGAATGTTCCTTCCCTTTTAAGCGGGGTAACTTCCTTGTTCTCTACATTTTCATTTGGTTCGGATACAGTTTTTGTATCTGTAAAAGTATTTTCCCTATTTAGAGGAGTTGTACTTGTTTTTGTAAATGTGTCCTCCCTCACTGGAGTAGTCGGCTTAAGTTCAGTATAGGTTCCTTCCCTTTTAAGTGGTGTTGTTGTCATATCTTTATTGAAAGTCCCCTCTCGTTTCAAAGGAGTTTGAATTTTAACTGCACTTTGTTGTTTTGGGGATTGTATGTTTTCCGTAAAGCCATTCATTTGTGATTCATCCAAGCTACTCTCAATGAGTACTGGAGTAGTATTCACAATATTTTCCTTTGATTCATCACTGGTTATACTTATGCGAGAATTATCATCTGTCAAGTCAGATCTTGAATCCGTAGTGTCGGAACTTATTATTGAGCTTTTTCTTTTAACAGCTGGCTTTTCAAAAGTCGAGTTAGATTTTTGAGTTGTATTTTTATCAAATGTGTCATTCATTTTTTCAATTTTGTCAAATGTTGCATCTAAAGATACAGTAACATTATTTGTATTTTTGTCATAAGTGTTATTTAAGCTGGATACTTGTCCTAATGAATGCTTTGAAGATCTCGAGCTTCTGTTTTCTATTTCGGTATTATGATTAGATGAATTGTTTTGTGTCTTTTCAAATGTGGCATCTAAATTTATAACAGATGAGTTTTCAATTTTATCAAAAGTAGAATTCACAATACTTGACTTTCTTTTACTTTTCGCAGCACTTAAATTTAAATTAGAAATTGATGTTTCTTTCACATCAGATTTATTTAAATTTAACTCATTAGCTGTTTCTGTGTCATATGTAGCATTTAGTTTTGTCCCGTTTAAACTACTTTTATCTAATGTTGAAGACTTCCTTTTCTTAGAACTACTTGTTTTATTTGATACATTTTTCATTTCATATGTTGAATTCAGGCCCGTTGCCAATATATCTTCATTATCATTGCAAATTGAAACTCTTCCACTAGATATATTTTTAGAAACAGTCTCAAAAGTGTTACTTAATACTGAAGTGTCCTTTTCCTTTTCAAAAGTAGTATTATCTATTTCAGATTGTTTTAGCACTATATTTTCAGTTTTATTTACAATTTCATTGGTTAAAGATTGACGTATAGGACTGTTGGCAGGTAATTCAACCTTTTCTGATTTTAGTTTTTGTTTCCTTTTACCCCCCTTTTCTACAAGGTTGTGATTTGATTTTTCTTTCTCTATAGTATTTATCTTACTTTTTTTGTCATTTGGTGATTGATTAGTTTTAGCTTCAAAATTATTAAAACATTCTTGATTAAACTTGACAGGGCTGCCTGCAGCGCTGTGAAAGGAATCAATAGATCCATTACTTTTATTCAAGCTTTTATTATGTTCTGGAAGAATATCTTCTACAACTATGGAATTGGATCTCTTTTTAGTTTTTTTCTTATTAGACTTCTTTTTTGTTGCAGCTAATGCTTCTATTATAGGTTCTTCAATATTTTCATTTTCAATAGAACTTTTTTTAGTTTTCTTCTTTTTACCTTTTCTCTTTGCAGCTATTCTATCATTATTTTCTATATTAGATGGGACATTTTCTGAACCGTCGTCAATATCAAACTTTTTGGTACGTCGTGTTAATCGCACTGGTTTTCTTTCATCGTTAGACGTTTCAGAGTCTGTTATAAGTAAATTCTGCTCTTTAAGTGTATTTCTCCTTGATTTGCGAGAGCTTTTAGCAATGTTCTCAGATTTAACATTTAAACTAAACGCTATGTTTTCTTCTGATGGATATCTTACGTAGTTCTTTCGTTTTTTGTCCGTCACAGGACTCGCGCAATTTTCCTTCTGTTGTTTACGAGTCTTTTTAACGCTTTTAAGTTCTGTTAAATTGTCTAATTCATCTTCGGGGTCTAAACCATGAATCCCTACAAATAAAAAGCATATTTTGTTAAAGTTGTAATAAAATGTTGTAATAAGTAATTAAATGTGATTCAACAATGTAAACAAACAATGTAATTATTTTAAAAATAACAAGACTTACGTTTTCCAGATCTTGTAGACATTTTTAAAATAATGTGCACAAATATTTTAAGATATCATTAGCAGGTATTATTAATCTATAAACTTTTTAGTATTCAATCATCAATGTTTACGTTCTTAATGCAGCCGTTTTTAACGATTTGAATTTTAAAACTCTATGTCAAACAATCAAACATTGATGTATCAAGTGTTACCATATGTAGTGCAAAAAGATTTTAATGCTTACTACCATGAGTAACTAATAAAACTTATTACATCACTTTTTCCCCGCAACTTGAAAATTTAAACTGTATATTATGTTCTTATACACATAATTTTGTGATATAAACAATGTAAAAAGCGTCAGCATTACCATTACTTACCACTTTTTAATGTTGAAACTACAATCAAAGCTACAAATCAGTGAACTACAAAAATCCACAATATTTTATGTACATAATAATAGCTAGCACACACTAGTCCATACATCTATCGAATTTCCTTCACTTGTCTTCGTGTACGTTACATCGGGTTTGGTCTGTTACAGATATCTTACTGTGTGGATATCAAACCGAAAAAAGTAAGATTGCATATTATTTAAATTATATTACAAACGAAATAAAGCAAAGTACAGTTATACTTTATTATTATTTCCAATTAATTCTGTTTTCACAAACATCTATTTTATGTGATCAATAAATATTATTATATTCCCCTTGAAAAATTGGGTCCGACGTAGGATGAAATCTCGTCGTTTTCTGGTATGCCTTGTGTGTGTGTGTGTGTTAAAGCTTATAAAGCACTGTATGGGTTTACTATTCAATGCTCAAAAAGTTTCTGAAAATTTATAGTTTTATAATGAACAACGTATCAGTATTATATGTTACAACAGTTCAATAATTTAAAAAATCTTAGATCAGAAGTTCCGAGCCCAAGTTAAGTTTTTTCTTAGCCCAGAGTTCAGCAGTTAGTAGTTTTCACCTCTCGGCACGTAATGTCGCCGGTCCTGCATGAGCTTTTACCGGTCTTGTTGAATTATCATCCGACTGAAATATGAGGATTAAAGAAATGGAGAGTGCACTTGTGTATGCGCGAACACGCGCTGTACTATAAAATCGGCGCTAGTCTCAGTGACATTGGCCAAAATCGGTGAGCATGTCCATTATCAATTAAAAAAATAGAATATTGATTGATATTCATTATATTAAATCTTTCGTGATTTTCAATGTTTCGAGCGGCAGCACAAGGTATTTGCAATTAATTAAATTGTAAGAGTAGTTGTAAAATAGCTGTCTATAATATTGAATACGATCACAAAAAAATAATCTATAAATACAACTTAATTACCTACTACTTCGAAATATTGTGTTTATTGATATAATAGTAGGTAGTAAGAAGGACGAGTAGAATTTACTGAAAAATAGAAAGAGAGCAACGTCTCTAGAAGAATAAGGCAACATATGTGATAATCCATATTTTATCCTCAGATACTCTTAGAAAGTATCCTATCGTTTTATAACTTCTGACGTTAGCACATACTTTAATTCTTATGTCATTATCTCTGCAAGAAAATGTCAAAATAAATAATCTGAAACGCGGTTTAGTTCCGCATAGTGCATTTATTGATTAAACGGTCATATAAAAAGAATAGAACTAAAATGAAAAATTATTAATTAAAAAGTGTGATGCCAATCTCATAGATCTAAACAGTAAATCAGAAGAAATCAATACAATGTTAAAAGCGTAAAGTGACCAGTAATATCGGTTACTTTGTGTGAGTCAGTAACTGGAATAAACAATGGAACGCCCGTTTCTCCACGCTGCTGCGGTTTTAGTTTTATGTTTTAAATATATTATTGCCGATCGCGGTGACTATATTGGCTGCTATAGATTTAAAGACGATGTACTAAATACACATACTAGACAGTCTGTAGACGTTTGCTTATCTGCTTGCGAACAAGTTTATTATAAATTTGCACTCATTGGGAACGAATCAACTTGTTTCTGTGCCAATGGTCCTGGACAGTTTAAGTTAGACTTAGAGTCCTGTAATACTCCATGTCCCAAAAATGAAACGCAAAAATGTGGTGGAGATAATGCTGCTAGTGTCTATGACACTGAAGTGACCGTGCCTGGCCCTCCAATGTCTATCGAAATCTTTAACATTACTGAAACTACTGTGCGAGTTAAATGGACTGCTCCACAAGCTTTTACAAAAATTACTGGATACATAATTAGAGCCATTATTTTAGAAACATATGCAGAATTCATTTTACTTCCTGTAGAATGGTATGTTTCTAATTCTACATTTGAATCTGAACTACCAAATCTTCAGCCAGGTTCTACATATAACATCAGTGTAGCTGCAACCTTCTATGAAGAGGAAGGAGCAAAAATCACAACAAAATTTGAAACAATTATTGGCACACCTGATCCTAGCCCCCCAGATATTGAAATGAAAGAAAGACATGGTGATGAAATGTTAGTTCACATTCCTGAAGCTAAAAACTTTAATGGCCCTGTATCCATGTACAGAATTGTAGTCTCCATTGAGCTTTATCAGCAAGGATTTATTATAGAAAATTTAGGCAACCACACATATGCTCATGATCAGGGCCTCCCTTATTACATAGCAGCAGAATTAGACCCAGATGAAATTAAGAATGACTTCATAATTGGAGACAGGCATACATACAATGGGTTCTACAATGCCCCCTTACCGTTGACAAATGATATAGAAGTTTCTTTAGGGATTGTCAGTGAAAAAAATCATGTAAAGAAAATCAGATATGCAGAATCAACTAAGAAAATAATATTAAATATTAATGAACCTGAAGTAGTTTCCCCTATGGTGGTAGCTCTCGGAGCTGCCATTGCAATAGGAATGGTATTGCTCTTAATAGGCATTGGTTTATTAATTATTTTACGAAAAAGAATCCACATGGTGCGTCTCCAAAGGGGCTCCCAATCTATGCCATTAAGCCTAAGTGAACCTTGCATGGAAATTGAAAATTCTGGATTCCTACAAGATGAAGATGAAAGAGTTGATTACTATGGTAATTTAAAACGTAAACTGTGGAATATCCCACGGAATTTAATAGAGATTGATATCTCTTGTGTAGTTGGTCTAGGTAGCTATGGAAAATTCACAAGAGGCAAAGTGCAGCAGCATGGTGCCCATACTTCTGGCTTGGTTCAAGTCATTAATGATAGAGAGCTGGAGAAACCTGACAAAAAACTGATGCTCCAGGAGTTGGATCTTCTAATTAAGTCTAGTGAACATGAGAATATAATATCCTTAATAGGAATTTGTGAGACTACAACCACTCTCTTGGTGGTCCTTCAGGATATAAAAATTACGCTTAAAGAGTTACTTCTTCAAAGTAGGCAAAGAGATCTCAAAAATAATAAATTTTGTCTCATTTCAGAAAATAGAGCTCTTCAAACATGTCTGGAAATTGCTTGTGGAATGGAGTATTTGCAAAGTAAAAAGATCGTGCACAAAAAATTGACATGTCGAAATATTGTGATAGGTGAAAATGGTATTGCCAAAGTGGCTGGGTTTGGACTTTCTCATATCCGACCACTACATGAGACTCCCGATTATACTCGGTGGACATCACATGAAATGCTCCGGCACACTAGGTTTAATCCTAAAGCAGATATATGGTCTTTTGGTGTTCTTATTTGGGAAGTATTAACTATAGGTGCTACTCCCTATGGTCATACAGGGAACAAGGATGTTGCAGCACGAATTTTGAGAGGCATGAGACCTTCCCAACCGACTTATGTGGGAGATGAGCTCTTCCAACTATGTTTACAATGCTGGCAGGTAGACCCTGACGAGAGACCCAGTTTTTCATCTCTACTAAATGAATTCACTCCATTTGTAGAGGGACCTGGAACAAAGAGTTTAAGTTTTACTCATTTTAATGGTTTTAATTATGAACCACATGTGCCACAGTTTGAAATAGTTTCATAGAGTTATATTGTTGTAATGCTTGACTGTACTGTACCTATTTAAATTAAAAATTAGCAAAAAATATGCACAAGTTTATATATAACAGCTCAATATGTAAATTTACAAGCAATCTTATAAATGTTAGTCGAAAATTTTGATATTATCAGAGTGGTGTGTTTTTACAGTAATGATGGTGTAGTTGCACTATGCTTCTAAGATAAGGTTATATTTAATCCAAAGATAAAAAGCTTTGATTGTAACTGCCACAGTCATATTACCAATTCTTATTATTTTGTAGATGTAGCTAAAGTATTTTTTATAGGTTTCAAGCATTCCAGCATACAGTTTCTTTTATTAATTTTATTTTAAAATCTTATAAGTAAATACTTATTATAATGATCTCTAGCTACATCTATGATTTATATGTATATTTATGACAAAAGAATTTAAGAATGTATCTGAAAGCAATACTGCGTTACCTTACTAACTAGAATTTATAATCCTTAACTAAAGACTATTTATATGTTTATATGTATGTATGTATGCAGCAATTGTTTCACAAAATACTAACAAAGTACCAACTTGAACAAACCATCATTGGTGCACAAGAATAGTTAAAACTGACAAAATTGCAGCTATGTTATTAATTGTAAAAATACTTCCAAATAGCTTTAAGGTATCTATTGCAAATCAGACACACATAATAAGGGTAAAATATAAAACTATAAATATTATTTTAATGTTAAGTTTTATGTTTTTATACAGGTTACTGAGATTAGATAACAGAGAATTATAACAATAATTCGGAAAAACACATAGTATTTTATATCATAACTAGCAATATAGTGGTATGAAATTCTCATGCGGTCAAATAAGTAGAAAGCAAAGTCAACTAGAATTTACAGAATTATTTTACTTTCGGAACACTAGGGAGTAATATTTAAAAATTTTATGAAGATTACTCATAAAATATATTAGTGCTATCTTCTATAAGCCTATTATTAGGGTTCCTAGCAACCCTTAGCATTTGGGCTCTAACATGTAAAGTGTTTACCCATGGGGATGAGATATTTGTAGCAGCAAAAAGTAGTTTATATCGCTCTAGTCCTCCATAGGTCCATAAAGATCATATTAAGCGGTCAGTCAGTTTCGACGTGACAAGGACATTTTTTTTCAAATTAAAAAAATAATTAAAGCTTATTAGTTTATATCCTACCATTGCAGTGACCAGCTGCTGGGCCAGACTTGAAACTTGAATTTTATTGGGCCCTCTAAGCAAATAAGATAATTGTAAAAAAAAATCAAGTTTTCTAACAATATTTTATGAGTAACCTTTACAATTTATATATGTATTTAATTTGATTAGGTACGTTAAATTCAGGACTAAGCTTTAAATATTTTTTTGAAAGTTACATTATTTTTATATTGTAACATTTATTTTAAATTTTAATTTAATTGTCATTGTTTATGCACAAGTACTTATATTTAAAGATTCGTTTTAATTTTCAGGCTGAAATAATAGAGTGTATAGAACAATAAAAGTGAAGCCAAATTATTCTCGAATTCGGTATTGTTATATATATATAGAATACCATTTCAGGCGTCACTCACCATGCAGTGCACGCTCTACCTTTTTTGTTTGAGATTTGATTGTATGACATTTATGTTTCATAAAACACATTCCTTTTTAGTACCTAATATTATTTGTTACTTTTTGTTTTTACACTTGAATGTCGTTCCGTCCATGTATTTTTATATGAATCTCATTAATTTAATGATCTATATTGTAGCGTTTACACGACTTGAAACTAATAAATATTTAGCTAATAATGTTGTTTTGTTCGTTGCCTTTCCAATATTTATTAATATGGAGTTCAATTCTCAACGAGTGTCAGGAAGATAGTTCATCTACACCAAGATGTCGTTACCAACTGCCTCGGTGGTCCAGTAGCTAGAGGAGAGTGGAGGACCGGAGGTCCTGGGTTTGAGCCCCAGATCTGGTTAAATTTAGTTATTAAGTATTTTTGGTGAAGTTACTATCGAAATTTTATATCGTTTCCAAAGTATCAAGAACAAGAGAAACATATTTTTAAATGAAATCAATCATGTGCACTAAAAAGTGCCTCAAGCAGGAAGAGCGAGATTTGTTTTCATAGGAGGAAATTATAATAATAGTGCTTAGATGTGTTATGGCGAATATAACTATTAATTGCGGGAACGTGAGATGGGTTACTTTATTTATTTTAATAAATGGGAAAATTATGAGTAAATAACTTTGTTTGATTATTATATTATTTTTTTGCATATAAACCGTAAAATGGATTTCAAAATTTGGAAAATATAAGTTTTCGATTTTTACAGTGTATTTTTTATTTTCTAGAAAACACTTCAAGCGGCCAAAGTCATGTGCGGGTGATCTTGTATAAACTTCATTCAGCGGAGCTATAATGTAATGCTCATGAGTTACCAGTGCTTAGCGCCGCCCCCGGGCACTGTAAATAATGGCGCTTGATTATTGAAATTTTGTATGAAATGGATAAAGTTTCGATAAAGTTTAATTTCTTTTAATTATAATTTTTTCGAAAAATGCAAAAATATGTTTTATAAATGTTTTCAATTTTTCCAATATATTTTTTTTATTAATAAGTAGCGCCTCACTCTCGCTTCGCTTGGGTTCGCCTCTAGGAAGACAAAAATAAACCTATCCCACGGTAACGGTATATTTTTCCCGGATAAAAAGTAGCCTATGTGTTATTCCAGACTATAATCTATCTCTGTGCCAAATTTCATCCCCATCCGTCAAGCCGTTATGGCGTGAAATAGTAACAAACATACATCCATACTCACAAACTTTCACATTTATAACATTAGTATAGATTATTTTTTTGGAAAATAAAAAATGCCGCCCTGGGCACTAGCCTCGAGTGCCTCTACTGCAAATCCAGCGCTGTGAGTTACATATTATTTTAAATTACTCACGAATATTCCTCAGACAAAACACGTCTCCTACGCTTGTGAGGATTGCAGATTGTGTGTTGTGTCATAATTTCTGGGTGGATCCTATATGATATTACATTACTTCAGATTTCAACAAGCCTTGAGGCCATTTCTTCCATCAAGTATATGTATCGATATCACATGCAGATAGCGTGCAATAGTTATAGTAGGTAGCAGATATAGGTAGGTAGGCGGGGCATCGAACACCATCCTAAGTGCCTTAGCCGACCGATGGGACTCCCCGTTGTTTTGTCGCTGGGTACAGCTTCATGCTTCCTTTGCTAACCATAATCTTTAGCACAGGAGTCACATCGGAAGCCAAAGAAAATTATTTTTTTTGTTTGTTTAGTAGGTATATTATATTATTACACTATAAGTTTTACTAACGTAGTTGTAAGTTTTTAATGTAACTTACAAGTGGTCTGTGTCTTAAATAAATAAATTATTATTATTAATGCTACAGGTGACGCTATATTATACTTGTCAGACTTCAAATATTCCATCTCACACACAAAACACAAAGATATTATTGAACAGCTTCAATGTGGGCTATTTTTGTTGACTTGTGTAGATGACAGATGGCGTTGATCCGCAAATATCTATACATATAATAAAATTGTAACTAAGCCGAATCTGTACATTAGATATTTTTTGGAAAATCTTATTGGAATAAACATTATTATCGATATAGAGGCCGAATCTATGCTTTTTAGATTTTCGTCTGTCTGTCTGTCTGTGACCGCATCACAGAAAAACCGCTGGAGCGATTTTGATGAAATTTGGTATGATGATAGCTGGTTATCCGGTCAACATATAGGATACTTTTTACCGCGGGAAAATATCTCAATTCTGAGAAAAAATACAAAAACTGCAATGTAAAAGAATACAAATGGTAAAGCCTAAAAATTTGGTTTTTGGTCATTTTAACGCGGGCGGAGCTGCGGGCAATGCTAGTCATACTAAATTAGATTTTATAAATTAAGCACATGTAACAAAACATGTATGTATTTAGTAATAACCAATGTCTACCCGTTTTTATCTGCGGTACACAATTCATTAAATGTAACCAGCGCCAGCTATGAATTTAACGACACGTTGGGTTCAGTTTGTAGTGACCGTACTTGCTGTGCCAGCGGTCGCGGGTTCGAGTCCCGCTGGGGGCATTCATTTGTGTGATGAGCACGAATGTTTGTACTCAGTCATGGATGTTTATATTTATAATATGTATATATTTAAAGGTATATATGTGTAGTGTATCAACTATCTGGTATCCATAGCACAAGCCTCGTAGCTTACCATGGAATTAGATGGTGCTGTGTGTTAATGTCCCAACATATTTATTTATGAATGCGCTATACTAATTGATAAAGGCTAATGGCTAATATTTCAAGCATCAATAAAATTATGGAAATTAGATTTAAGAACGCATTATTTCATTTTTCTTGTCTTATCTTTACTCTATACATCTGTACATATTGTTAAAGTTGGGATAGCCAAACTAAAACAATTCAATAATTAATTTAATCCTTCTCTTTTATTCTTGTCAATATTCTTCAGTAACTCTTTACAAAACAATAAATTATTAAATTAATATTAGCAACGCCAACTAATGTCATCTAATGTTCCAAGTTTTATTATAAAACAAATCATCTACTATTTCTCCATAAATATTAAATAAATTTGATATAGGTTAAAAGAATAATTTACAATTATTGCATTTAAAAGAAAGTAAAAATTGTACACTAATTATTATTCAGATAAAATGATTATTATTAAGAGTAAAGGTGTTGGCAACATGTAGCGTCACCTATTATCTCGACCGTAAACTACTTCTTGACTGAAAGTTGTAACAATATAATGAAACTAAAACAAACCTATCCCACGGCAACCGTAGATTTGTCAGGGATAAAAAGTAGCCTATTTGCTATTCTATCTATCTCTGTGCCAAATTTCATCCAGATCCGTTCAGCCGTTATAGCATAAAAGAGTTACAAACATCCATACTCACAAACTTTCACATTTATAATATTAACACGGATTTAGAGTTGAATTTGTACATTTTTTAGTCATACATACATAGTCATTATCTATATTTTTTAGAATTTTTGTTTGTATGTCTGTCTGTTAACGCATCACGAGAAAACCACTGGACAGTTTTTTATGAAATTTGGTATAAAGATAGCTGGTTACAGGATACTTTTTAGTGAAAAATATCTCATTTCTGAGAAATCTATACTAAACGTTAAAACGTAACGCTAGTATTTTATAAAACCAGAATTGACATAGTATACATATTATACCTTTTTGGGATTTTTTAATGTAAATATTTATGTTTTACATATTTTGATAAGACCATAATGTATATAAAAGCGGAGGAAATAATGAAAACAATATTGAATAATTTTGTATTTATTTAATGTTAATATAATTATAGACAATGTTCAAGGTACCCTTTAATTGGTTTTCGAGCTTTTAACACTAAGACATCGTAACCATCTTATTGACCTTATCTTTATGATATTGCAAAATAACAATAAATTGAAAATCATTTCGACGACACAACTAAACAATCATTAACTTTGACTAAAATAGTGAATTTAAAATTCATAAAACATCGCATAAAACTCAATTAAATTTCAATTCATAACATTGCATACCCGTTTACGATAAACCAAGTTAACAAAAAAATATCAATAATAAAATATTATAATTCCATCATAATCTGTACAGCAACAAACGTAACTAATACGAAGGTAGCGAGCGAGTCGGCCCGCCGGGGCCTGCCGGGGCCCGCCAGGGCCCCCCAGGGCCTGCCGGGGCCGGCTAGGGCTCGCCAGACGCCGTCAGCGGCCGCCAGAGGCTACGCTTCACTTACAATACGCAACAAGGTACAATTCAATAGAATTAGTTTAACATATCAATCTCAACATGTGTAAAGGTTGATGGGCGGTCGCAGCGGCCGATGTCGGTGTGCAACAGTTGATTCCTCAGTCTTTAATTGATTGATGACCATGAGCGAGAGGAACGATGAGGCGAGTGCGGCTATGTACAGCGTGGGGCGCGACCACGCGACCACGCGACCAGCGACCACGATCAACAAACAACACTAGCTACTCGAGTGGGGGCGGGGGCGGGCGTGGGCGCGGGGGCGGCCGCGCGGCGACTGCGCCGTACTTGCTCCACACCATAAAACTTCAATTCAGATAATGTTACCGCACTAAGAATTATTACTTTTTATTATTATTCACGATAATATACTCTCAAATATTGTAACAACTTCAGTATAACAACGTTAACATTTTCCAGTAGGCAATCATTAAAATTATCTACACGTACCCCACTGTACTGTTTCGTTTCATTTAATATTAATATGATCAATTTAACTAACTATAATATAATGAACTCTCCGCCTTCGACGTGTTCTTTACAGTGTCCCTACGCTAAGTAGTCGAGTGGAACGAGATAACTTTAATATTAAATATTTCGGATGAATAGTATTTTGAGAGAATATAACACGACTAGAGATCTATTATATTTCAACAATCTAACATCTGTGTAAAGCTTTCGATAAAACGTACATTTGTGGAAGAGAGTGGGAGTGAGTGGGAGTGAGAGTGAGAGAGAGAAAGAGAAATACCAGATGGAATGTCTCGAGCAGTTTGTGAAACATTGTAAAGAACAAATCAAACTGAAACAACAACGAAGGGAGACGAAACGAGGAGCGAAAGAGACAGCCAGAGACCGGGACCGGTCCCGGCGCGGCGCGGCTCCCGTCCCGATAAGTTACAGCTACACTCAGCCGTAAACAACACCGCACGAGGACACTACGACATTATAACGACAATCGTTCGCGTCCCGCGCCGGTCCCGCGCCGGGGCGGCCCCGGACACATTGCACACGTTTGTTTTCGAATAATTGACCTATTCACTTACACGTACTGACTAATCGAGATAAGTTCCAATAAAATTGAGCTTGTAAAATCGACTTCACAGCGCTGCGCCGTGCGCGTCGCTCGTGCGCAGTGAACGTGCCTGTCGCGAACATGTGAAACCTATATAATTGACAAGACGACATCTAACCCCCAAATATACATAGAAAGATGAGAAAGATCGAAAAACACCGTAGAGTTGGAACAGCGTACCTATAATACATTAAAGATTGAATATACACTACACTACCTACTCGAATGGATCTACGATGCATTACCTACATAACACCCTACGTCGGACCGGCACGCGGCGTGGACAGCGGGCTCGCGCTCCACTACTTCTGAGTATCGTCTCTCAATTCCTTTCCTTACAACTACATAGTTTTAAGCCGATTCACATATATTTATAATGTTTTATATTCATTTGTACTTCATTCGATTCCGAACAATCAACGCCACAGGCTATCACTCCGGTCCGGTACGAATACAGTCCGGTCGCTACAGTAGAGATCTGGCGGGGCGTGGAGCCCCAACTATCAATAGACTATCGATATACTTTAACAAATAATAAATTTATTAAACAAATATTCTTACAACGAGTCGATTAGATGTTTATATCACATTTAATGGTAAACAAAGTAAGTGTCGAAACGATGCACGATGATGTATTAAAGTTACGTTACCTAAAACAACGCGTCTAGCTAGAGTACTCGACACAACCGACACACCCCAGCTACGTCGATGGCACTTGTGAGGTAAGCGAGCAACTAAACCTATCCAGTCCCTACCGGCGTCCACCGACCGAGTACCTTGACAGAGTCCACAAACATCACAGCTCACATTATTATGTCCGCAGTCCGTGTCCTCGGACGAGGACTCCGGCCGAACCGTGGCGCTAAAATAAACCGTCAACGTCATGTCTATAAGAACTGTAAATAATATTTCATATTGTCCTCTCGAGTAATATTTATATAGAATTCTGCATTAAAACCTTTAAAATATATAACCTCTATACTATTATGGACATGCATTTATTATTAAAATTGTACTTACACGTTAAAGACAATTTAGACCGACTAAGAGACGTCGGACGACAGACGATCCGACGACCGGCCTACTGAGTGAGTACTGACCGAACAAACATAAATGTATAAAAAATAAACATATCTACGCGATAGAAGGAATGAAGACGGCCGCAGCGGCGGGGGAGGGGAGTCAACGTCAGACAATAAAAAAATAAAATACCGACTTTGGTAAAACATCGTTCGGCTCACGACGATACGCCTCGAATATAAAATTCAAATTTAACACTAAAACGTCCATACGCTAAAAATAACTTATCAATGGTAACATTTACAATGAAAATCAACTTCGTAAATAAAAAAATAATAATAATCGGATGATAAAAAAAACGTCCATGGAATAGGAAACGACGGCGCGGGACTAGAGCGGGCGGCGGCGGCGGCGGCTACTGCAGGAGGCCGGAGATGGCGTTGTGGCGCGTGCGCTTGAGCTCCTCCTCCTGGATCTTCTGCTCGATGAGGTACTGCGCGTTGCCGATGGCAGTCTGCGTGCCGCTGATGGTGACGATGCGGTTGCGCGTGCCCGGCGCGAACGTGCCCTTCTTCGAGATCTGGATGTTCGCGCCCGACATCTGCTGGATCTCCACCAGGCTACGCCCGCCGGGGCCTGCGACACAACACACGTATGCTGTTAACGCTCGACTGGCTTTGTGTTCACACATTATAATATCGGCATATACAATAGAAACCTACACTGATGTCGTGAAGAAGTAAACTTTGTAAGTTTAGATTTAGGGGTAATGTCTGAAACTACTGATACTATACTGTAAATTCTTTCAATGATAGCAAAATACATTATCATCGAATGTTACGGGGTTTTAGTTATTTCGATTAATATATGTTTAATGTCATAAACCATAAAAAAAATGAAGTCAGCTAAAATCTGGGTATTAAAATACTTTATCGGCGTGCAATGTCTAACGACTTAAAGGGAGCCAGAAATGTACTCGAGCGCCATTACGGCAAGCTCTCGCGTGATAAACTAAGTGTAGCGGATTTAAATGCCGGATCATGCACATCTGATATTTTCATGTGCGAACCATGTGCCATTTAGTACTTTATCAATCACGGCCACAGGAGACATACTCACAGAGAGTAACCAAAATCGCAGGAGATTTAATAGTGCACAGGGATGCGCGTAAACATAAGAGCATTTTCTATTTTTTCAGTCTCAAATTTTAGTGGGATCGCACCGGGAGTGTAACATCAACTTCTCGATTGTCACTGAGAATTTATTGACAGAAAAACCTAATAGTTAACCTTGATACGATCCAGGCCTCGAACCCAGAACGTCAAATGTGTAGTCGTACTAGCTAACCACTAGACCAAAGACAGTCATATACATACACATAACCACATAACATAACACAGCACAAATATACAAACCTAATATAGCCCCGACGATGACCTCTGCGATTTCCACATTCTTCGAGTCCTTAGCCCCCGCGTCCGCTGGCGTGGGGCTCTTGGAGAGCGGCAGCAGGCTGGCGGAGGGGAAGGCGGGCACGCCCCCCACGCCGCCGGACAGCGAGATGGGCGCCACGGCTGGGGGGCGAAGCGCCTCGAATGCAACCTCCGCGAAACGCTCTAACGAGCCCCCGCGCGCGCCGCCTGCGGACGCGTCACTGTTGCGAGCGAGGCCGGGCTGCCGCCGCCCGCCGCCCGCTCGAGCTTACATTAGAACGTTTCGCGCTGTCGCCGACACAACAGGGCGTTAGCGCCCGCCGCCCGCAGCGCTCGACACCCCCGCCTACCCCCGCCCACCCCCTACCCCCCGCCCTCGCTACCGGCGGGCAGGGCCGGCGCCCATGTACTCCAATTACTCGCTCCGAGCATTCGGAGTATTCCTAATAGCAGATAACACTGGATAAAATTTATGAGTGACTTTTTGTGACACAATTATTCTTTACGGTTTCTCGAGAGTTAGTCATTTTGTATGAAATTGTTTAGGTGTAAATTTTTCTCTAGGCCGGCCCTGCCTTTCGGTTTGATACGGCAACAACAGAATCCCCTCGACATGCCAATTTCGCGAGCTCGGGTGATGCTAATGCACGTAACCCCAATACGATATACAGACAGTTACAACAATAAATATATTGAAAAATTTAGAAAAATATTGGTCAGAAGACTGCAGTTAAAAGTATATAAAATTGTATCGTAAAGTGCGTAACAAATTTAAAAATGGCAACCAAATTTCTTTAAAATTAAGCTGACTAGTCTACACGTTTGTTATTCTACACAAGAAGGACTAAACTCTAAGTGAGAGTCAGTTAAAGCCAATTACCAGGTTACAGAGGAGTGGCAACTGAAACGTACAACGTACACCAGCATGACCCAATTAAGATAAATCGTGAGATGGAAATTTTGAAACGTATGCAGAGATATCGGCAGCGCTGTGGTGCGGTCGAGAAGTAATGTAAATGTGAATGGTGGAAGAAACAACCGGTTTTTAATAAAAAAATACAATATGAAAAAAATAAGCTCTACAACAAAGAACGCTTCAAAAATAGTCTATACAAACTATGTTTACGACACAAAGACGTTTTTACACAAAATATTTTTACTAACTCGATCAAGTTGTTTCTCCCAGAAATGAGCAGTAACTAATATCGACATACACGAGGTGTAACACTACACTCGTTTAGCGTTAGGTGATCTATATTCAGTGCGAGTACATCACTAAATTATTGTAAGTCTAAGCTGTAACTCAACTATACAACAAACGGTAATGATTTAACAAAGTAGCCTATAAATATAACTATAGTTTGTCCATTTTAATAATCGTATTTTGACAGCTCGATGACTAACAAGTTACTGTGATGTCCTAAAGGACGTAATAATCGATATAATATTTTTTATTCATATTTATTAATATGAAAATAAATATTATAATCGTAAAAATTATATATACGTCAACTGGCAACATCAACCGATAGTCCGTCCGACCGCCATTTTGACATAGTCTTTCACTCGCAACAAACGCCCGTGCTAGTCACACGCATTTAAATAAAAGGCAAATAAAAGGAATTCAACTATTTTAGTTGTTTTATTTGTATGCTTTATACTAAGAAGAAAGTAAAACTTTATTTATATAATGTTAATAATATTAATTTATTGTTTTCAACCTTAAAATTTTGTTGTCTTCTTGATTAAATAACATATTACACCTTATTTACATATTAGAATTTATTTTTACCGATTGTTTGTAATGTGGGGCACAATCGTAGTATTCGTTGTGTGGCACATCACTAAGGGGGCGGTACCCGTTCATGAAGTATATATAATTTGTATGAAATTTTGACTTAAACAATATGAAACTTCATGAGCGTGAGCTGTCAAAAAACTATTAATAAAATGGACAAACTATAATATACGAATAATAATTAATTTTCCAATAGAAAATATTTTTCATTCCAAGCTACATTTAAATTTTATTTTCTAGGCTAATGAAAATATTCACATAATTTCACTTCATTTACATTAATACAACATATTCACCAATATATATTTTTTTTGATAAAAATATTTTTTTCTTTTCATTTTTAATACAATCTATTACCAAAAAATAAAAATTATTATCATTTATATACTATCGCGAAACTAAAAAACCTTCAAATATATCATCTAAAGCTAACACGGGGGTAGCGCAATACAGCCACTGCTCAGTGAAATGTATTGCCGACAGATGGTATGGTAAAAGCGATGTTTTAGAAATTTTTATATAAATTAGATAGAAATAAAAACCAATAATAAGCCAATCGTGTTAAAACATCAGCAATACAGTACATGGGCATGCGTGTAGTAAATGTGTGTTATATAATATGGTTATTTAATATCTAGATGAAGAAAACACACATTGAAATAATATAAAACATAATAATTTATGAAATTATGATTAAGCCATTTTTAACTGATCTCAAAATAAAGTATTAACTTGCATATGGGTCTGTATGTACACTTGTAACTCAGTACCTAACTAATACTACAAATAGTGGATTAAATATTAAAATCTGTTCAGTTTTTTTCATTCGAAGTAGGTACATATAATATTATCAGAATAGACTTCATTATGATATTTATGCAGTAAATTATCTAAATACTTATACTAATTGTAAATCTAGAATGTATTTTGTATAAGTATATTGTGTAATGTGTTTGTATCTTTGTTCTAAGTGTAATATAAGAAGTTTTTAAGGAAAAAATGACAACTGGTGACATTTAAATTGTTGATGTTGTAGCTAATTGAAAATATTTAACAGTTTTTTTTGTTAAATAAAACTAGTTTTTTTTGCATAACTGTAAAGAAGTTATTAATTAGGTGCTTTTTTGGCTTTATAAGTTTTTAATTTCATTATCTATAATTTCCCGGTAAATCAATTAGCAAAAAAAAAATTAACACAACCACAGAGAAGAAATACGATATTGATATATATATATATATATATATATATATATATATATATATATATATATATATAAGATACTGTTCTATATAGCATGTGAGTAAACAAATCTCTCATCAGCCACAATCATGGTTATTGACTACAATTGAATAGAATTAGTTACGTTCTAGTTGACCTAGCGTCGACATTGCCGTGCTCACGTCATCGCGCTACGTGACATATTATGTTACTACATACGAACATATTAACGATATCTTTATAACTATCTATAAATCATTTTTATTTCCAACAAAATGTTACTTCGGACGTATAATACCAATAAAATATAAAATGGATACAAATTGTTACAAGAAAGCAGGAGATTGTGAAAGGTAGTAATTTACAATGTACTCGTACTTCATATATATGTAATTTTTAATTTCTTTTAAATTATGTATACATCTATGTGGCGTATAATGTAGTTGACATACAATCGCTTGTCTTGAATTGTCAGCTGTGAGTGTAGAAGCGCGAATGAGATTGGGACTTAGAAGTAATAATCTTATACTGCACCCGTGTGAACCTTGCGATAGCTGTGTGTGTGTGTGTGTGTGTAGGCGTGTACTAACCGAGCTGCACCTGCGCGAGGGGCCCGAAGACGGCGGGCGAGTCCTGCGCGGGCAGCGGGAAGTAGGCGGTGGAGAGCGGCGCGGGCAGCGCAGCCGGCAGCGCCAGCCCCAGCACGCCGTGCTTCACCAGCAGCGCCAGCGCCGCGCCGATCTCCGAGATGCCGGCCTCCGAGTACCCGGCCTGCCGCAGCGCCACCTGCCGGCGACCGAGCGCTGCGCTTTTATATAGTCCTCGTCACCGGTTCCGGCCACGGGGACTAATCTTAATGGCTTACTTTGCAATTATCAGTCAGATCATGAAAAGAATGCTTCATTTCATTTTTCTTTATTTAAAGCACTTTTTAAAATCACAATATACACATATACTCGAACTGATGTGTGGAAAATTAAAAAAAAACTTTTATATATAAGAACATAAATAACAAAACGTAGATTTAACGCAATCTGTTGACATTCATTTTAACAAATATGACTATTTTACTTTCAAACTAAATATTACATACCTTAATATGATCCAACGTGTGTTGCGTAAGAGGCGACGGGGGCGGAGTCCCGGGCGGCGCTAGCGACAACGACAGTGACAGAGCCCCTAACCCTGAGCCGTTGAGGAGCACCGACCCCACACCCCCCACTCCGCCCACTCCCCCGACACCCCCCACCCCCGCTACCGACCCCCCGCCCACCAGGGCGTGACTCTGGAATTACAAAATAGAGGTATCGACAAAGATATCTATTGATAGTGACAAATAGTGAAATTATGAGACTTATTAAAATTTATTTATTTAAAATTTATAAATAAATAAGTAAATATATACATTTATTTGGCCTTATAAAATAATATAAATTTTCTGTAACTGAACTTGATTAGAATATTATTGTAACATATTATCATTATCATAATTGGCCGACAGACAAGCACTTACAAGTACATTGGTGCAGTGACACAGATTAAACCGTTCTGGCATCTCCTCAACATGGTGTAACGTAATAATTTATATTTGTTATGTTGTATTTTGGCGTCAATGTGAGTTTTAACATATTATGATTGAGTACATATTATATAAACATAAAAATACATTTAAATAAACAATAACAATGTAGTACATTCCGTTTACTAATATATTATAGTGTATTTGTCGATCTGTACGTTAAACGTTAGTGATAGTGTAGTGTAGAGCAGCATGTGAACGGTAAGTGTGGCGACCACTTAAACACGCCCGCAAGTGCTTTCCACCATGTGCTGAGGCTCTACCGATTATATATAATACATATATAATATAAACATGTTTTGGAAAATATTATGGATTGAGAATTTTAACATGTGATATAATTAGTGATTTTTATAATATTCTAGAGATATAATGTATAATCTTGTAAACACAATATAGAGTGTAGGAATGATATATTTTTCTTCTTGTTAATTGGTTTTCGTAGAATAATATTAAAGGCCCGATGACCTCGAGTTTTGGACACTAGGTACAATATAAGGGTACCGAAATGGAATATTCCAAAATATTAATTCCACCGTATCTATAGGTAGTCTATTTCTATATCTAAATTATTTTTACATATTTCTACTTTCAATTAGCTTCCTTTTTAGTGTCAAGGTGGTGGTCATAAGTTGTAATAATTTCATCACGTATCTTCGTGTCAAGGCAAAAGAGACTGTAAAAAGCTAATCTCGCAGAAGTTGTATATATGTACAACGAACTTTAAATTAAACCTAAAATTTTAGTGTATTATAAACGTTTTACTGTTTAAGTAAGGACTCTTGAGGTAAAGAAATATTAACAAAATTTGATAAACTGGAAGTACATTTCCTAAACTTATACTAAGTTATAAACAAAAATGTTTGCATATTGGGAAATTCTCACATATCTTCAAACAATAAACATTTTCTACAGACGCGCTCAAAAGTTCTTAATACGACAAGACAAAGGAAACAAGAACATAATAATAATATTCTGGATATAACCAATCCTCATCTTATCTGATTAAAGTCTAAATAAGTAATTGAGGAAGTTCAAAGCAATTAATAAAAACGCAAGGTTAGAAAAAAAATATAGAAAAAAATTATCGCGAAAAAGTTTGAATTTAAAAGATATAAAATCACCATTTAAAAAAGGAACAACAAGTAATGTAATATTTACAAACAAAAATAATGTCAAGACCATCACATCCTAGGGACCATCCATAGACGTAGAGTATGGACGGAGAATTACTGTCATGAAATTCACCACTCCCTAGAAAGAGAGAAAGCGAACGTGCGGCCAATACTTGTCTTTTATTCCAATTTGAATTTATAAATAGAATGTAAAAAAATACATATAACACAGTGAGATAGAATAAAAAATGGTTATAAATATTTATCTTCATTATATTTATAATATAAAAGATTTCATGGCCACTCATTTGTTTTATCGCTGTTTTGCCTTTCCGCCATTTTTGGCAAATAAATACTCAGTCCACTCTTTATGTCTATGGGATCAATAGACCTTTTTCTAGTCGATATAGGGTTAACGAGAAATCAATAATGTTGTAACAGACAAGATAATCGTAATCGGTTCCACGCGATAAACCACTGATGGGTGGGAGAGTGATGACATCGACGGACTCTTGGCCGACGGCCAGCACTTTGTTTAGTGGATATTTTGGTCAATAGCTCTCGTCGATCTAATTTATGGACGCTATTAAAACAATAGTGATACTAAAAATAGTTTGTATGTGAACGTGTTCATTAGAATTTGAAGCTTTAAATAAACTTAGTAGGTTATTTTCGATATTAAATTAGTAGGTGTTTAAATTTTAAAATAATTGAACATAATGGAGGAGGTAGGCTACATCTTAACTTTACTTATTGTTAGCCTGAGTAAAGCAATAGCGGGTTACTAATGTTTTGTAGTTCTTTCAGATGGCAGTCGTACCTCTTTTAAATGTTATCGACTTGGCACAAGCTGTAAAATCCCACAAATTGCCAACTCCCCAATAAATTCGACCTAACATATCCAACAATTGCGATAAATCCATAAAAATAACTGTAATTAAAGCCAATCTTAGAGCCTCAGCGTAACTCAACAGCGTGTTCAAGTTGTCACCTCGGTCACCTCGGTAGTGGGCACGGCGTACGGCGAGCCCGTGGGGTTGTAGTTGGCGACAGGGCCCGCCACATCCGCGTACGACACGTTCGGACACGACCCCGACTGCGGGTCGTCGACTACCTTCTGTAGGATCATCAAGCATGCCTTTTTGTTGTTCTCCTTCTCACCTGGAATTTGGTAAGGACAGACATAAAAAAAAATCATTTTAAAATATATTACATTTTATTAGCATCAACAATAATTTATAAATAAATTAAATTGAAACATGAAAATGTTTTTTATTCTAAGCTAATTACCCAGATGCCCTTCGGATTTATTAATAACGGAAGCGCACTTAAAGATGATTTTATTCGATTAAATTCCCAAATATCACTGGTAGCTTATTTTCCCAAAATGTTAATAAATCGTGCCTAAAACCTAACTTAGACAATCCCTCTTTCTATCAGTGAAAGCCATAACAAAATCCGTAGTAATTTCTGAGATTAGCCGGAACAAACACAACACTCAGCGCGACGGGAATTTTAAATATGTTGGAACATTATCACACAGCACCATATAGTTCCTTGGTAAGCCACGAGGCTCGTAGATACCAAAAAGTTCATACACTGCGTATATATAATTTTAAATACATACATGCTATAAATATAAACACCCATGACTGGAGTACAAACATACGCGCTCACCACACAAATGAATGTTCCCAGCGGGACTCGAACCCGCGACTGCTGGCACAGCAAGTAGGGTCACTACAAACTGAGCCCAACGTATCGTCAAATTTATTAATGTAGTTATGATAATTATTACACTTATTACTTTTGAATCATCAATAAAACATTTTATATGGACATTTATTGAGAATAGCCGGCGAGAATCTCAACAGATGCTATAAACACTTCTTTGACATGTGTAGCTGTCACACTAATATTATAAATGCGAAAGTTTGTGTGGGAGGTTCGTGTGTTTGTCACTTCTTCACGTCATAACAGGTCAATAGGATTATATTGAAATTCGAAATAATGGCAGTTTTCGAAAATTCTATATAGTTTAATCATATCTAGGTAATATCAAATAAATGTTGCAAACTATCGAAATTACCTAGACGAACTCGATAAATCTAATCCTAATAAATATGTATATTTAGAAATTGACTCCAAAAATATATATGAACTTAATAAAATTCATAAACTTAGGCGCAGTTCATTAAGTTTATTTTGGCATCGGACTAGTGAACTTTCTGATTTCTACAAAAAAGGCCGCGTGTAGAAAACACAAACGCCGAAATAGAACCTAAGATCGACCAGTAATAAATAAAAATATATGTCCTATACAATAATTTATGTGACATAAGTTAATCTTTAATAAACAACATGTTAACTATCATGTAGGTATACTGTGTTGAAATTTGGCTCATTCGCTTTACATTCGGTTTGATACTGGGATAAAAGTTGCCTTGGCATAATGCGGATATCATGCGGGCATTTACTCTCTCTAAGATACTTAATACTTTTAAGACAAGTGTATAAATAATTTGACCTTATATATTTTATTTATGTAAATATTATGTATCTAAAAAGTCTTTCTACTACATATTATACCTATTTTATAAAAAAAATACGTAAAATTCATCAAAATGTAAGAGTCAAATCTAAACTAAATTAGTAACTTAATCATTCAAATAAGTAATAAATAATTGAAGGTTAAAAGCAAGAGAAAGAAATATATAAATTTCTATTTATATACATACTCCACCATGTAGATTAAAAAGAAAAAAAATTAGGTCGTAAGTATAACACGTAAGTAGCATACAAAGTTAAGACGTGCTTAAAAATTATCTTTTAAAAATAAGAAAGCTCTTCGAAGCTTCTTGCGTAACAACTGCAGTAGAGCAGCAATCTAGTCTAAGCTGAGTATTAACAAAAGCTTAATATCTATGGATTGCGGGATATTTTTTTATATATATATTATGAAAAAGCCAGCATAAAGCGCAGCGGTGGCGCATTATACAGCCATTTCGCGGCTCTTTTAATTATTGCGAGCAAATATATATGAATACGTTTATATGGGTCACGTTCCAATTTCGCTTATTACTAAGAGCTTTTTGCATGTATGAGACATTAACTAAATAGTTTTTTACTTTCATTAAAATTTAAGTATACGAAGCGCGAGTCCACGAAGTGTTGCGTAATCGTCACTTTTCGTATGTATTTAGTAATTATTCAGAGGCCTGCTGAGTGCCGACTGCTGATATCAGTCCGAAGTATGTTGACATAATATATTGAATGTTTAAAGATAAAACTCTAACACAAAATATGTAAAAATGTTGACTAATAACAATGATAAGTGAGAAGACTAATCTAATGTGAAGCATTCACTATGGATTGCACAGTAAGCCGAAGGTCGGCGATTCGATATCCGGACATATTCTAATTTTTACTCAAATGCTTTTTAGAATCTAATTTAAAGAAGCGACAATAAAACTTTGACACAAAATATAACAAAATTTCGGTCAGGTACTCACCGACTACAGTGATACACCTCTCTTGTAGTGACAGCTCCTTGGCTTTCTGCGAGATCTGTACGTAGCTGCCACTTTGTTCCTTTATCTGCTTTATGTAGTTGCCGCCTTTGCCGATGATCATGCCCGCTGTTGAATTCGGTACTAAGATTTTCACCTGAAATTATAGAGTTTTGGATGAATTCGATTTATCGAATATATAATATATGTATTTCATTTAAGTTTACTTAAATCGAAATTTTATAATTGGTGAAGTTTAAGTTTAGCTGACTGTATGGAATTAGTGGGAGAACTAAGAGGTGCTCTATCTCGAAATCTCTTCCAATCACTCTTGATAGCGCTTCTTATCGTTCAATCGCTCTTTTTGTTTCCATAAATGCTGATATCGGCTGTGATCTAAATTTGAGCCAATTGTGCCTATTATTATCCATGAATGTAATCTAAATGCTTTTATTTAATTGGTTGAATCGTTTTGTATAGCGCAATTGAAATCGTGTAATTTTCTTTTTAATTTACCCCATCATAATAGCAATAAACACATTATTTTTATTACACGCAGAATAGTAGAGAGCCATAATAATATACTTTATACTCCTCTTTTTTATTAAATAGGATAATTTATTAATAAATACAATCTAGCACATATCTTTACGCATTACAGTACATTAACTTAGACATCACGAGCAATGTACTTTAATAATTATAGTGCTAAATCGATTTCTCCATCACCTCGCGTTAAAATTAATTGAAGCCCTTTTCCTTCCAGACCACCTCATGTATATGTATAATATATGTATGTATTCAGCCCTTTTTAACGTCCCACAGCTGGGCACGGGCCTCCCTTCAATACGAGGGGGATCAGGCCATAGTCCACCACGCTGGCCAAGTGCGGGTTGGCGGACGATGTATAATATATGTATTTCATTGATATTATATATAAAAAATTAACAAATACGAAAACGTTCGTCCCTAGGTACGTTTTAACGGTTAGTATAGAATAGATAGACAATATGTTATATTACTGCTCTGCGTCTTTGGGTGGTGCATGATGATATAAAGCATTCCTCAATAAACGAGCTAATGCAAAAGAATTTTTCAAAGCGGATTAATAATTTCATGAAATTAGCACGTTCAAACAAACAAACTCTGCCTCTTTGTAATATTAGAAGGTATAGATAACGACATATGACCGTCTTATAAGTTTGCTTTAAGGAAAAGAATTTGACGACTTCTATGACATTATATAGGTACGTACATATATCGTGACACAGAATTTGTAAAATCCTCATAATATCTAAATTCTAATATATAAAATTCTCGTGTCACAGTGTTTGTAACAAAACTCCTCCGAAACGGCTTGACCGATTATTATGAAATTTTGTTTGTATATTCGGTAGGTCTGAGAATAGGACGTGAACTATTTTTCATACCCCTAAGTGGTAAGGGTGGTTCACCCCAAAATTTTATTTGTATTTTTTGGACAAATCTTTTTATTGTAATTTTTTTATGATCTTTAAAAATATATACAAACCTAAATTTTTATATATAAATTATATAAAAATTCTAATATATAAATATCTCGTGTGACGGTGTTTGTGCTCGCACTCCTTCGAAACAGCTCCACCGATTTTAATGATTTTTTTTTGTATTTTTGGCAGGTATGAGAATAGGTCGTAAAGTATTTTTTACTCTCCTACCCCCACCCCCCATTTTTTAATCGCGATTTTAGTAAGTATTTTTGTATGAACAACCTATACTAATATTATGAAGATTTAAAGTTTGTGTGTTTGTAGGGGGTAATCACTGGATCTACTGAACCGATTTAGATAAAGTTGGGTAAGAAGATAGTTTGAAACCCTGGGAAGGACATAGGATACTTTTTATCCCGGAAATCAACCCTTAAGGAGGTGAAAATGGGGATGAATGTTTGTATGGGCAATCAAGCCAGGGAGGAACTCGAGCGAAGCGGGGATGAGTCGCTGTATAGCATAAAGCCAGTTTTTTTGTAGATTGAACACGGGCGTAGCCGCGGGTTCCACTATAATGATACACATGTATATCGAATTCAAACTTTAGTATAGCGTGAACGTCTTTCAATCGAAGATCGTCTAAATACTTGTACTAGAATCTACTTCTGCAGATCCTTTTTTGGTAATCGATTAAAATATTAAGTCCGACGTTAAATTTATAACCGGATATTCATAGTTAACAATATAGCAAATCACGCTCATAGAAACCCCGGCCAGCGCGGCGGGTAAGCGCTACATTGTGCTAGTTATTCGTTACCTATTGGCATTTATTAATGGTTGAGTGACTCTGTTAATTTGTAGGCACGTATTTGAAATGAGTAACCTGTAAAATTATCATAGTATTTCATACATTTAAATAGTACAATAGATATGTAACCAGATAAATAAAATTAAAGTGTCTGTTTGTTATGTCGAAATAAAAGCTTTTTACTTAATGCATAGGAAATCTAATTAAATACCTACGGTACTTAATAAAGCAAAACGCAATTTTTAAAATTTTTGTCTGTCTGTTTGTTTCGCCAATTTTCCGAAACGGCTGTACTGATTTTGACCGAGCTTTCACTGGCAGATAGCTGATGTTATAAGGAGTAACTTAGGCTACTTTAATTTAAAAAAAGGATTAGGATTCTGCCTAAAAAAAATAAAAAATGTAGACGCTAGTTACATATTACATATATAGTACGTATTGATAAACGATAAAAATATGACACGTAAAAAAAATCATTTAAATCGCATCTGCTCTACTATAGGAATAAACACAGTAACGAAACTGCTATGAAGAGATAAAACTCCTCCCACACCGGACAGCTGTACAATTTAACGATATCTATGTAGTCCTGATCTATAGCTAATTTTCAACTCTTCACAGTAGTGCCTGTTATTCTCAGAAATGTTATTGCAACTACATTTTAAATTATAATAGAAAATTGAATCCTTTATTACTCTTTACTTAGTATTACTGTGGAGTGTTTTACGCAAAAATGGAATGAACAGTGCCTTAATGTAGTATATTTGCATAGAACTAGCAGCCGGGCCGGAGATTTACATAGACTAAAATGCATCCTCGCACTTCTTAATGAATCTAATAGGATATAGAAATATACTGAAGGACGAGCAAATTAAAGGGTTTAAACGAAGCTACAAACGGTGGCTTGTATTTTCTAAATACATAAGTAAAATACTTATGATTTAACAAAATAATTCTAAAATCTTATTGAAAATCATTGTCAAAGGAACCAAAGGAGTAGTAAAATATCGTAGGAACTGACTTGCGCATAAATGAGCTTAACATAATTGTACCCAAAATAAAATGAAACGTAGGTACATTGTTTATTAAACGAGGGTTTCAAAGACGAGTCGAGATAAAACAATTCAATTTAAGGCAATTATTAATATTTAGGTGTGGAAGGGGCGTGGGCAGATGCTAGGTGATTTTAGAGAGCTAAGCCCTGTTTATATATTCCGTTTCTTTACACGTGTCGGTCGTTAAGGGTGTTTATTGTTTAGGATAAGACTGTGCTAATATGTAAATCGATATTAACGAATAAAATCGATATAACACAAAAGTTTATCGATTTGTATCACTCGAATAATATGTAGAGATCGTGAGAGTTTTCATTAATTTATTAGCTTTTCATTACTAATATTAAGTGACTATACAAATAGGACACTGATTAATAATTGTCAGAGCCGGTTCTTAAGCACTAAACCTCGCGTCTCCATTAACTTTGCACGTGAACAATATAAAATATGTAAATGACAGCGCTCGTCGAACGACGGCTGGCGACAAGGTCGGGTGCTAGAAATCGCAACCTGACACCATTAATTCTAATTTTACACACTAAATCAATTGTCACCAGTCCCTACATGTGGTAAGAAATTTAGAAATGATTTTCAATGAAAATTATGAGCTATTATGTATTAGGTAACATCAATTCGTTCGTTACGCAAGTACCCACTACTTAGAGAATCGACACATGTTAACTATTACAATAAAATGGATCATTCGTTTGTACACGTGGGCAGAATACAAGAGAAAATTCATTAAAGTAGGGTAAAAGGTAAAGGTAGGGTAAGGTAAAAGCAGTAAAACGGGCATAAACTCTAAATCCTTGGAATATTTGTTTTATTAAACAATATAGGCGATCCCGCCATACCAGATGCCCGTGTCACTCACCTCCTTTGTTTACAGGTGACAGAAATATTTTACGACCCCAACTTTGTGTTATAAAATTGTTTAAAAAAGTATAAATGTCATGATAAATAAGAAAAGTTTGTCAAAATTGTCCAATACCCTTAATTTACGCGACCACGTTAAGCATGCTGCTCGTTTCTTTTATATCGTTATGTTTTATGATATGAGTTCTAGTTCAAGCCAATGTATAATATTTATTTGTCTGTCATATAACGTAACGAGACAAATAAAGCATTTTTGTCTACTACAGTTAGTTTATAAACGGTAATTTTACTCATATAGAATTGGATCCGCAATAAAGCATGTCCTAATGGATGTTCACGCTATGGTATTATATTCGATAAAAAATTACTGGAACCGGTTCTTCATATGTGCGTAACATATTAATTATTAACATATTATTACAACATAATACGTAACATATTACTTTTTTCAAGTTTAAGTATTATTATTAAGTTTGGCTGAATTTAAAAACTGCTTCTTTATTGAAAGCTGGTTAAACGAAACATAACATTGCATATTACACGTGTTACAACTTGTATATCCATAAATTTGATTATAAATAATCCTTTCTTAATACCCTTACACTTTCTAAAGAACGTTTCTACCTATATTCTTGACCAGGGTTTCTCAAAGTAGAGTAAGTAAATCCCTAGTGTAGATAATTGACCTAGGCTTATCGTTGTACGTTCCTAAGTCGATACTAAGATCGTATAAGATATTATTATTATTTTATGTATGTATAAATAATAAATAAATATGAATATGTTGGGACATTAACACACAGCACCATCTAGTTCCATTGTAAGCTACAAGGCCTGTGTTATGGATACCAGATAGTTGATACACTACACATAAATAAACGTTTTAAATACATACATATTATAAATATAAACACCCATGACTGGAGTACAAACATTCAAATTCATCACA